CGGTGCAAGCGTGCCTGCCTGCCAGCCCATACGCAAGTCCGCCCGTGCCTGCCTGCCAGCCCATACGCAAGTCCGCCCGTGCCCCCACCCCTGACCCCTTGCTGCCTGGCAGACAGCCCGAACCGTTGCGCGAGTGCCTACCTGCCAGCACGATCGTCTGCGCCCGTGTGTGCGTGCATGCCTGCCTGTCCGCCCATCTGCCTGTCCGCCCGTCCTCCCGCCCGACCCCTTGCTGCTTGCCCGACCGCCCCCCATGCCTGCCTGCCTGCCTGTTCATACCAACCCGCCCGTCTGCCCACCCAACACCTTTCTGCCTGCCAGCCGGACCGCTTGCGCTGGAGAGTGCCTGCGTGCCTGCCTCTCCCCTCGCCCGCCCAACCCCTTGCTGCCTACCCGTCCACCCCCATGCCTGCCTGCCTGCCTTCCTGCCTGTGCATTCCAGCCAGCCCGTCAGCCCACCCAATGCCTTGCTTCCTACCCAACCTCCCGCCCCTGTGCACGCGTGCCTGCCTGCCTGCCAGCCCAACTGCTTGCCCCGGTGCCTGCCTGCCAGCCCAACTGCTTGCCCCGGTGCCTGCGTGCGTGCCTGCCAGCCTGACTGCTTGCCCCGGTGCATGCGTGCCTACCTGTCCGCCCGTTCGCCCGTCCCCCCCGAGCCCATGCCTGCCAGTCTGACCGCTTGCCCCGGTGCGTGTGTTCGTGCCTGCCTCTCCCCCGCCCCCTTGCTGCCTGCCCGTCCGCCCCCGTGCGTTCCTGCCTGTCTACCTGCCTGCACGCCCGCCTGTCTGCCCCTCCGCCCATTTAACGCCTTGCTGCCTATCCGACCGCACGCCCCGGTGCACGCGTGCCTGCCTGCCAGCCCAACTGCTTGCCCCGGAACGTGCGTGCGTGCCTGCCAGCCTGACTGCTTGCCCCGGTGCGTGCGTGCCTGCCTGTCCGCCCGTTCGCCCCTCCCCCCGAGCCCATGCCTGCCAGCCTGACCGCTTGCCCCGGTGCGTGCGTGCCTGCCTGTCCGCCCGTTCGCCCCTCCCCCCGAGCCCATGCCTGCCAGCCTGACCGCTTGCCCCGGTGCGTGCGTGCCTGCCTGTCCGCCCGTTCGCCCCTCCCCCCGAGCCCATGCCTGCCAGC